ATTTAATTTGTGAACTGCTACCTTTTTTTTTCTTTCTCGTGTCTTTCAAATCTGACAAGCTGTGCCACAAGTGCTTCTGCTCTAGCCTCAAACTTGCAACCTCTGGTCTGTCAACCATGAACCTTGGCACCCCCACCACCCCAGCCCCCATGTAAGTTGGGTAAAGCAAAGAATTTGGGGGAAGATGGAAAGGCTGTATTTAATATTTGTTGTACTTTCAGAAGTTATCATGCAAGGCAGTGATTCTCAACCGGGTTGCCATGCAATGTTAGCACTGTTAAGTATACAGATACAATTCACAAGATAAACCCAGAGATTTCAACTAGAAATCCGTAGTGTTAAAAACACCCTATCCTACTGTGGTCCTTTGTAGTTCTTTCCAACAGAAGAATTGCTCTGTTGTTTTTCTGTAGTAAAAAAAAACAGTGAAAATTAAGAGCTAGCATTTTCTGAAAGGTGCCTTAAGTTTAACAAGGGGTCCTTGAGTCTAAAAAGGTTGACAACCACTGAGGTGAGGCCTCTGGAGTATTTGCAGTCATATTCTGTTTTCTGTTGATGAATTTTTCAGTAATTCCTATTTTTAATGGCAATTTACTTTCTAATTTTCCCTTCATAAAACACAAGGCTTTCATTTAATCCTACATTCTCCTCATGTTCTTTCCTATCTTTTCTCCTAACTTGTTTCTGCATCTGTAGTTTTATGCCTTCTTTGGTTTTGCATTGTTCATTTGAAACAACCTACCGTGTTCTGTGCACAAAAATCTCTTCCTGTCTTTGAAATCCTACTTTGAAATTTATGTTTTATTCAAAGCCTTTCTCCATTCATCTTTTTACTCAAAGTGACTCTGCATCATCTCACATGGCAACTCTGGTTTGGTCTGTCAGTTATCCAAGATAGGTTGTGAACTCTTGGAGGTATGGACTTGACCTCCTCATGGGCCAAATCCTGTTGATCTTGCTTAAATAAAACTCCTGATTTCAGTTTGTTTGGCCTAGGGAAGGACTCAAGGAACTTCTTGCATGATCTGTGTAGTGGCATGATCATATATAGTACTGAATTATAGGAACTGTGGTGAAATTAAAGGGTCATTTTCTATGCTTTATCATTAAGCTAAGTTGTTATTTAAGTGGTTTATTTAAAAAAAAACAACCCAAAAAACAATAGCAATCAGATGTAGTACCTGAAATAGTAAGTGCTTGTTTAACTATACTGGAAATTAATGTGTGTATGTTTTGTATCTATATGAGTATTACCAAGACTTGAATTTTAAAACTGTTTTAGAAATACCTGCAACTCTTATCCCTCTTCACTGACTAAAGTTAATGCTTCAGTCCAAGTTCCTATTTTAATCAAAATTTCCCACTAAAGGGTCTTGTTTTGATTTGGGCAACACAAGAGTGAAAGACTCAACAGTCCCACAAGAAAGCATTGGAAATGAGACATGCTTTTAAGTGTGCCAGTGTTTAGCTCTTTCTAATGGGACTTCCATTTTTATTCATTTCTGTTTTGCATAGTTCTTACCATCAAGTTGATGTTTGCTAGTTATGCGGTTACATGGTCCTTTTTATTATGCAGTGTGCTTCATTAGTTATAATATTTGCAGTATTTGAAGTTGTAGAGCTAATGATCTAGTAGTACTATTGCTGTGAATAGCTTAATCCCTATGGGCACCTACATGTGCCAGACATCTGCTCTAACGTGTGCTAATTAACACAGGTCAGAGCATGCTCAAATAGAGTCTCCTGGAGCATGTTAATTAACACACTCCAGCAGCCGCCATGTCACATCCATTCAGCATTCCCATGCTTCAAAACAGCAGTGGGGGCACTTGAACTAAAGCCACCATTTTGAAGCCCGGGACGCCGAATACACATGACGCTGCAGGCACTTTAATTAGAGTGGCTCTTGGAGCTCCTTTACTTCAAGCGCCCCTTCTCATACCTCGGCGCATGTGTATAGATGCCTTTATTATTATATTTAGTCATTGGAATATTCTTAATTTTCCTTGCATGCAATATAGCACAGAAAGCAATGTGCTCAGATGACAAACATTTTTCAAAATACAAATACCTTCTGCAAAAAATGTATCTGGATAGGTTTTATAGATTCATAGATTCATAGATTAAGGGTCGGAA